TTAAGTCTTCAAGTGATTCATTATATCTTTTCATTATTCTATAAATTGATCCACGATATTTTAATATTAATTCATCATTTGGTTCTGTTTCAAGAGATTTACTTAAGTCTTCAAGCGATTCATCGTATCGTTTCATCGTTTCGTAAATTACACCTCGAGTTCCTAATGCAATTGCATTGGTTGGCTCAATTTCTAATAATTTATTTGAATCTTCAAGAGATTTTTCATAATCTCCTAACATATAATAAGTTCTTCCACGATATCCCAATGAGATAGCATTATTTGGCTCAATTTCTAATGCCTTCTTTGAATCTTCAAGTGATTTTTCGTATTCTCCTAGCTTATGGTAGGTTCTTGCACGATTTCCTAATGAGATAGCGTTATTGGGCTCAACTAGTAATGAATTATTTAGATCTTCAAGTGATTTCTTATATTCCCTAATTTTGCAATAAACTATTCCTCGATATCTCAATGCAAATGCATCATATTGTTCAAGTTCTAGTGACTTATTTAAATCTGTGAGTGCTTTTTCGTAATCATCCATCATAAGATAAGTTGCACCACGATTTTTTAATGCTAATACATCATTTGGTTCTATTTCAAGGGATTCATTTAAGTCTGTAAGTGATTCATTATATTTTTTTATTATTCTATAAATTGATCCACGATGTTTTAATACAAATGCATCATATGGTTCTATTTCTAGAGATTTATTTAAATCTTCAATCGATTCGTCATATCGTTTCATCATTCTATTAATTACACCTCTATTTCCTAATGCAATTGCATTGGTTGGCTCAATTTCTAATGACTTATTTGAATCTTCTAACGATTTGTCATAATCTCCTATTATATAATAAACTCTTCCACGATATCCTAATGAGATAGCATTATTTGGCTCAATTTGTAATGAATTATTTAAATCAATAAGTGACACTTTATATTTCTTGACTTTGTTAAAATATATTCCACGATATCTTAATGCAAATGCATCTTTAGGCACAAGCAGTAGCGATACATTTAAATCTATGAGTGATTTCTTGCAGTCATCCATCATAAAATAAGTTGCACCACGATGTTTTAATGCAAATGCATCATTTGGTTCTATTTCGAGGGATTTATTTAAATCTTCAAGTGAGTCATCATATCTTTTCATTATTCTATAAATTAACCCACGATGTTTTAATACAAATGCATCATTTGGTTTTATTTCGAGAGACTTATTTAAGTCTTCAAGCGATTCGTCATATTGTTTCATTATTCCATAAATTGCACCTCGATTTCCTAATGCAATTGCATTGGTTGGCTCAATTTCTAACAACTTATTTGAATCTTTAAGCGATTTTTCATGTTCTCCCAACATATAATAAGCTCTTCCACGATATCCTAATGAGATAGTGTTATTTGGCTCAATTTGTAATGAATTATTTAAATCATCAACTGACTTCTTATATTCTTTAAATTTGCAATAAACGATTCCTCGATATCTCAAAGTAAATGCATCATTAGGCTCATGTTCTAGTGATTTACTTAAATCTATGAGTGATTTATCGTAATTATCCATCATAAGATAAGTTGCACCACGATTTTTTAATGCAAATGCATCATTTGGTTCTATTTGAAGAAATTTATTTAAATCATCAAGTGATTCATCATACTTCTTCAATATCCTATAAATTGCACCCCTGTTTTTCAATGCAAATAAATTTTTTGGATCAATTTCAAGAGATTTATTCAAGTCCATGAGTGATTCATCAGATTTATTCATTATACAATATATTTCCTCTCTCATTTGTAATGCAGATACATAATTTGGTTCAATCTTTAAAGATTCATTCAAGTTTTTTAGTGATTCTTCATATCTTTTGACTTTAAAATATGTAATTCCACGGAAATTTAAAGCCCATGCATTATTTGGTTCAATTTCTAATGATTTGTTTAAATCTATTAATGATTCTACATATCTTTCCATCATGTGATAGGTTTCTCCACGTAACCTTAATGCACATGTATCATTTTGATCAATTTCTAAAGATTTACATAAATCTTTAAGTGATTCTTTATATTTTTTCTTACTTAAATAAGTTGCGCCACGTTGCTTTAATGCCCAAATATTATTTGGATCAGTTTCTAATAAATTATTAAAAATATTAAGTAATGTATCATAATGTCCGCCCATCGTAAGAAAATGCTGACTATTTCTACGTAATTTATTAATTCTAAGTCTCGGATAATTTCTTAGAAACGTTGCTTCTCCTGGAAGGATTAATCGATCATGTAAGAACAAAATAAAATTAACAGTCTGATGACTTTTAAAAAAAATAGAATCGAAAATCTGATTTAATAGATAGATTTTCTTGCTGAACTCAATACAGTCATAGTAAATTTGAATTGAGTAATTAAAACTTTTAAATGGAACATTAGCAAAAAGAAAAAGAACATAATATAGATCTATACTTTTATTCATAATGTAAAGTTCAAGTTTCTTTAATTGATTATGAGCTTGTAGAATTAGAGCTAGATCTTCTAATGAATAAAGTGGGATTTTCAAATGTTCAAGGTTTATCGCATGATCCGCAATAGCTTTGATGAGTTGAGTGACATCAATATTGTTATCGGAGTGCCAATCGAGCAAGATTCTTTTGAGTGTGTTGCAGCTTCCTTCAATAAGACCAGATAATAACTTTATAGGAGTTTCACTATCATTAATACTATAATTACCGTACGAATATTCTAAAGATATCAGATTTGTAAAAGCATCAGCAATAGGAAGAAATAAAGGCGAGTTGAGTCCTTCACAATGCTTAAATTTCAATTTGCTGATATTTGAACGTTGAACAAGTGCATTGATAGCATCTTCATTTAATTCACAAATTGTATAATTAAAAAATTCCTTATCACATAAGTCTTGATTTTCATGCATGTCTTCAAATGTCACACTGTTTAGCCTTTTTTGGTCCACAAGAGCTTGTATGGGAAATGACGCAAAAATATTGCTGTTTATCAGGGAGAACTTTTTTAAATGTTTTTGAGAACGGATAAGATCCGCTAATGCTATTCCTTCATCCTCATACCAGACACTAACCTTAATTTTTTCAATAGATTGACACTCATTTGATATTAAATTAAAAAGGTCAACTTTTTCCACCGGCCATTGATAACTACAATTAAAATAAGTCAGATTATTAAATATAGATGTACATTCAGAAAGAGAGGGAAGGATCGAAGATGCTATTTCATCATTATTTTCGAGATATTCACTAAATAGATGGTCAAATATTTGAAATCTACGTAATTTCGTATTTCGGGTAGATAATATTCTCAATAATTTAATTATAATATCTTCACTACAACCATTCGCTATAGCTGCAATAACAAATCGATCATATGAGAACTCTTTAAGAAATAATGGATAGTCAAACAATGGTGATTTACGAAAAATCCCATCTGGTCCTGGTATAAATGCAAGATAAGTTTGAATAACTTTAGGAGATGGAGTAAAACTGTCACTAATTCTGAAGGGAGCTTCCCATAAAATTGGAGCGACACAAGTAGCCCAATATTTACTAACTAAAAGGCAAGAATGCAAATCTTTGTTAGTTGGAAGTAATCTAAAGATCGCTTCAAGACATTCCGGTGAAATTTTTTGACGCATTATTTTTAAATTTGGTAGTTGATTGGTGTAGCAAGAAATGGAAATGATTAAATACTATTGTTAAATGTAAAATTCTAAAAAAATTATCATACACTTAATAAAATGAGAATATTGAGTCGGCGAATTTAAATGTAAGTGAATTTAATAATGAATGTCGTTCGGACTTTAAATTTATATTGTTGCCACACCAAATTTTCTCGATTTGGAGTGGCTGTACTCTGTAAACAATATATGATCCTTTTCGTTTTTAAAATTTAATCTATACTATTAAAGTTTTAACATGTGTCTAATCGCTTTAAAGTTTATAATAATGGACACAGTCCCCTAAAAATCATATTAAATTTAATATTTACATGCGTACATGCCAAATATGTACGTACGGTGCAAGGAATCCGAAAAACAATCTCCTTATAGAAATCAAATATAAACAAGCGGCATATTGAAGTCAAATATAAATAAGCGGCATATTGAAGTCAATATTATATTTCCATAAATTATTAACATCAATATAATGTGTACATAAATACTCGATAATTTAAGAAATTCCAGGAACGTAGTGAAACGAAATACCAGGAACGTAGTGAAACGAACGTAGTGGAACGAAGTAGTGGAACGAAGTAGTGGAACGAAGTAGTGAAACGAAGTGTATGATTAAATTCGTGTTATCGAGTGAATATAAATGATAAATTGTGTCACAATTCCACAACGGTAGTTAACAAAAAAAGATATGCGTATGCGTGAATTTAGGAAACTTTTATAGCGAAAAGTTATTGATTTTTACCTATAGGAAATAGGGAACGAATTAGTGTTTTACAAAGAGCTTTTTAGGATGATATGTATTACGAAGAACTTATATTGAACATACAAAGGAGCTGGGCTTTTATCGTTATTAAGTAGAATTACAAACCAATACTAACGCTTTACTTAAAATCGTTATTTAGGTATATTATAAACAATATTAACAAGGACATTATTTCTAATTTATATATTTTGTCATTTCAAAGCACTAGGGAGGTATCGTTTATATATCTTTTCATTATTTTGTCAGCTTGATACTTTTTTTCGTTAGTTATTAACTTCTTCCGTTAGTTATTAACTTCTTCCGTTAGTATTAGTTATTAACTTCTTCCGTTAGTATTAGTTATTAATTTCTTCAGTTAGTATTAGTTATTAACTTCTTCCGTTATTAACTTTTTTACCGGTTTAATAACTAACGGTACACCCAATTTCGAAATTTCAGCCGATGACGGCTTACTGTTACCGTTTCGTATTACAGACCAAAAATTGAACTAAATAGGAAATAAGAAAATTTAAATAAATCTCCATTTAAGAGCTAAAGTCATGTACCCACGTGATTTTGACGTTTTAATCGTTTTACTTAAAATTAAGGTTTAGTTTGGTGTTTATATAAGAAGAGGAGTATAGGTAAAATTGACTTCCCGACATTTTTAATTAGTGCTTCAAAATAGGTTTAGATTGCCATTTTTTGTCTTTTTACGTTTTCTTTATTTTTTGACTTCTTCGGGAAACAAAATTTCTCAATTCCGGTTGGTTGATTTATACAAAAACGTCACATGGGTACATGACTTTAGACGACCCCAATTTAAGGTATAACATCATACACAAAACCTTGATCCTAAATTGGATGCGGTAATCGAATGATTTTCATGACACATTCTTGTTACGTGCCATATGGATTCACTTATTTCTCACTGTAACACAACGTATAAATAATAAACATTCTATATACGTATTTGCTTTGACTTCAGAGTCAAAATTAGCCACATTTTAGAAAAACAGAAATTATATTAAAGTTTTACAAGGATTATTTTATTCGACTAGAATTTGAAGTGTGTCATTTACTTTTTTTTGTAAAATCATATGGATAACGTCTAACCCATTGTCTCGTGAAAAGATGGGTTAGATGCTATTCATACGATTTTACAATAAGAAATGTCAAAAAAAATAATAGATGACGCACTTTATAGTCTAGTCAAATACTAAAATTACACAAATGCGCAATAATGATAAATGTCGAGCTATTACTGTATTAACGATAGTTTAAAAATTTCACGTTACACCTGGTCTTGAGATCTACTTCAATACCATAGCGATAGGAAGACTTTCGTATGATTGGCTGTTTTAGTTTTAGAGAAGTTAGCATGGTAATAACCTAATTCTATCTATCTTTAAGAAGTCGCTATTATGCTAACTTCTCTAAAACCAGGAATGATTTTGATTATTTTTAATGGTTGAGTCCTACAACCCTAATAAAACTTTTTATATGCTTCTTTTTTGTTTATTCTTCGCAGTTGGATTTTTTTTAAAAAGTACTTTAAAATGTAAAATTAAAAATTGATTTAAACAGCCAATCATACGAAAGTCTTCCTATGCCATTCAACAATTTCCTTTTTTTGTTTGTATCACAATGGGAAATAAGGAAAAACAGATCTATGAGTTTTGTTTTTTTTATTACGTATTGTTTGGTATTTTGATTAAATTCTTAAAATAACCGTGATCAGCCACATTTCCTTTCAGATAAAATGGATAAAATATCGGAAATGAGCACAATGATGATCCGGAAATGCATACCGGGTTAGTGCGCCATAGTAATTGAAACACATAAAGCAAAAACAAAGAATTATAGTTATTGTATGGGTACGTATGTAGTGAATAACCTAGATTCTCACGAGCATCGCCCATAAAAAAAATACTGACATCACTTGTAAATAAAATATATATTGTATACAATATATATATAATGATTAAGTTGAGTAATTACATAAATTAAGAATCATGTGATATAACGTATATGTACAATTAAAGGTATGACGCCAGCTGTATTTTTGTTATGGGCGATGCTAGAGCTGTTGTTACTCACGGGTTCATATCCGTGGCCGAAGACCGCGGATTTAAATATGAATCTGTGTGTGTAACTGGGTTATTCAATATAACCATACAATAACTATCTTATTGCACTGTGTCTGACGTAACAATCCCATGCAATAACCAAATGAAAAAAGCACGGGTTGTCACATAAGACCCATGCAATAAAATACTATTTATAATTGTTAGTCATTAGAATTTATTCATTTATATCTTTAACAACTAGTACTATAATTCAAAACTCGCTTATTATATTTTTATTTTATCCCCTAAACCCATTTTACAAACGAATTTGTCTGAGAACGGTCATGATTAATCTGTAATCAAGTTAATAAGCTATGCTAAATTGTAGTTTATATCACAGTTTATTTCAAGCTACACCATTATAATGGCACGCATAAGGTATAGACCACCTAGTCAATGTAGCGCTCCAACCTGGTACAAATTTTTAGATATTACAGCAATATGGCAATACGGCATTAAGGAAATGTGAATTAAGGCACTGCGATTTACGACCTTAAATAGTATTCAAGATATTTATTCATAATTAATTGCAGAACATATAATATTATAATCAGTGTTGGTATTTTATTGCTCTATTGGAAATTTTTTTATTTTTTAGGATCCTGAATATATGTTTAGAAGTCTGTCATAAACTTGGACTAAATTTTTTGAAACGTTGTAACAGTCTCTGAGATGCTTTTCCAATCTATTTCTTTTCTATTAAATTCTTTTTTCTTTCCTTTTATAGCACAGTTTTAATTTCATTAAATATATATATTAAAGTATAAATATTACATTATTAAATAGAATAAGTACCGGTTGGTACTTTTTTCTTTAGTTAGTATAGATGAACATTTCGCACGCACAAAAGGAATGTGTGTCATTTATGATATTTATAACATTTATTGTATTTGTGGCATTTGTAAGATAAAAGGAATATGCGAAATATGGGCCATATAGTGAATAGGCGCCTTTTAGCATTTAGCCAGTATAGCGGGCTTTCATTGTAATTGGCTGATTTTTGTAGATCATCCCGTGATATTGCAAAAATATCATTGGTTAATCGA